CTTTTCGAGGCACAATTGATGATGTTCTTGGCAATTTTTCTCTCACACTTATCGACACACTTGACACTCTCTTTGTGAGCTCTTCTTTAACATTTTATTCGGACCTAGATTATGAATGAGCTGGATGAATTTGAGAATGCAATTAAAAAAGTCATCAAATTTGTCTCTTTTGACCACGACCTTGATGTTTCCGTTTTTGAAACTAATATACGCGTACTTGGGTAAGATCTATCCCACTGGAAATAAATACTAATCGCGTTATGATTTGTTTCCTCTTATTTTTTAATGTGATGACCTAATTTATATTCATCCCTCAACTTTAGCGGCCTCCTTGGTGGTCATGTCTCTGCGATTGAAATCAAAAAGAAGAACTCTTTTAACCTAAGCTGGTATTCTGACCAACTTCTACAACTAGCTGTGGATATAGGCAATCGCTTACTTCCAGCATTTAATACTACTACAGGAATTCCTTATCCCAGAGTCAATCTTAAACACGGAAAATCACAGCAACGACACGAGGTTTTCAAATACTATTCTGATATTTGTTTAGGAATTAAATTTATTTATCAATTACTATTGCCTATATTTGTTTCGGTCTATAAATTCATTCGTTAGTTTTCTAAGATTGTATTTTATTTAAATGTGTATTTTGTTATGCCTGTTTGTTGTATCTATTTTCTACATGCTTACCATGAGTTCAATATATTTCCAATAAGCCGCTCTATTTGATTAGTAAACGCCAAAAAATTACGATTTTTGCTTGTAATATCTGCCCTCTTTAGACTAGTCCAATTCATATCTTCGTAACTCGTTTTTACTTCATAATTTTTGTCCTTTAATATTCTATTATTGTTGTATTGGTATTGATCGTTGCCGAGTTGTGCAAATGCGGTTTCAGTAGAGGAACAGGATTACTCTGATATTCCATCCTTTATATTTTATATTACGACTATCTTCGCCTATGGTTTATCCTTCGTTAAAATTTATTCTAGGTTGGTCTAAAAGATTATAGGCAGCAGCTATCTTGGCGCCTTAGCTAAAATAAAGGAGTGTAACGGAGTGGATTGATCTATCATTCATCATTAGGCTGAAAGTCCAAGTCCCACGTCTATTCATGAATATTTTTTCATGTGATTTAAATAAAATGCGTAAAATTCTTCTAATTCATGAAAATTGACTAATTTATATATAACTATTAAATTAATACTAGTTTTTAATCCTCTGTCGATGAGATATTTCGTTATCAAAAATGGCATTGAGCCGATTAAAAAATAATCTGCCTAGTTGGTTGTAAATGTTCTCAAACCGGAATTGCCTCGTATACTTGAAATTATATTTACAAGTAAAACCACAATATTAGGTTACCGCAACATTGAATTGGTGTCTATATATAACAATTATATTGCCTTTAAGTATGAGCTCTGTAACTGATCAGAAGATTACTATCTCAAGTTACCTTGTATTTTCTACTAATTACGTGAGCCTTTTGAGTTCACCAATTCATTGACTTATGTATTTATTTCTTTTTATTTGTTTTTTGCTATGGTTGATAATCTTTTCATGCATTACTTCTTTGTTCTCGTTTAATACTTCCTTTAAATGATTTACAATGATAAGCAGGGCCTCTAGTCTTCTCTCTTATTTTTACTTAAACGACTTATCTTTATGACAACTATATTACTCATTCAATATTTACTTATTCTAATTTC